AGAAGCATCAAACTTAAAGGCAGATCGTATGAAATTAACTAGTCAAAGGAGAAAAAGAAAACTCCAGGAGATAAATGCAGCATGTGTGATGCTCTATGGGAGTCCAGAAAGAAGAAAGAGGAAAGGCATGAAGCTTATTTGAAGAAATAATGGCTGGAAACTTCCCAAATCTGGGGAAGAAAATGGATATCTTGATACAAGAACTCAAATGACCTCTAACCATAAGGAACTTAAGGAATGCAATTCCAAGACATAATCAAACTGCCAAAAGTCAAAGAGAATTTTGAGAGTAGTAAAATTAATTAATTAGCTAACTAATTAAATAAAAAGTGACTCATCATTTCCAAGGGGAGGGGTTCTACAGCAGATCCTCAGCAGAAGCTTTTCAAGCCAGTAGGGAGAGGGATTATATATTCAAAACTGAGAGGAAACGCTGCCAAAGGAAGACTATATCTGAAAAAACTGTCCTTGAAAAATGAAGAGGGCAAACATTTCCCCAGATAAACAAAAGCTAAAATAAAAGGAGCTCTTTATCATTATGCTCACCTTATAAGCAATGCTGGAGAGTCTTCGGGCCAAACGAAAAGACTTTAGAGAGCTACAAGATGTCATAGGAAGGTATGAGGTTTGCTAGCAAAGGTGAACCTATAGATAAATGCAGATTACTATGATACTGGTACAGTGCACAAATCACCTTCAATTTTGGTATCTAAGCTGAAAAACAATGGTATAATAAATCACCATAAAAATAGATGAATGGATATACAACACAAAAAAGCATCATTTATGATACCATTAACTTAAAATCAGAGGGAACAAAGGAGTAGGATTTGTATAAATTCAAAGTCAAGTTGTCATTTGTTTCAAACTGATTTTTACAACTATTAAGTGTTTTATATAAGCTTCAAAATAACTACCAAGAAAATATCTATTGAAGAGACACAGAGAAAATGAGAAAGAAATCAAAGTATGTCAACATACCCCCCCACACACACCCCACAAATCAATGAAACATAAAAGAGAATAATAGGAGAGGAAATGTAGGACAAAAAGCTGTAAGACAAGCAAAAAATAACTAAATGGCAAAAGTAGGTCCTTCACCATTAGTAATTACTTTAGATATAAATGGCTTAAACTCAGCCACAAGACATGTTGGTAAATGTGTGGATTTAAGGAAGGAAATGTAACTATACTGCCTACAAAATACTCACTTCAGACTTAAGAACACAAATAGACTAAATGAAGAGCGATAATCCGTACAAATAGCAACCAGAAGAGATCATATTATAGGAAACAAAATAGATTTGGGATCCAAAAAATGTCAGAGACAAAGAAGGACATTATATAATGTTGAGATTAATTAACCAGGAATATAGAACACACTCAATATCCGAGCATCCAAACATAAAGAATAAACGTTGATGAAACCAAAGGGAGGGTCTAGTGGTGTGGCTTAGTAATAGAGAGCATGCTGAGTATGTGTGAGGCTGTGGGTGGTGGAAGAAATCTGAAGAGAAGGAGACCACAGCACAATAATAGTAGGAGTCTGCGATACCCCACTTTGAATAGTGGCTATATCACTCATATCGATCAGTAAGGTAACAGAGGACTTGCTTGAACAACAATGTAGACCAACTATTCTTTTTTTAATGTTTTTTATTGTAGAAATACTGTACAGAGGGGTTACACTTACATTTAGGTAATGACTACATTTTCTATCAAGGATTGTTACCTACTCCTTTGTTTTTCCCCTACCATCGCTTCCCCAACTCCTCCCCTTCCCCAAGTTGTAAAGTTCGTTTTCAACATAGTGATAGACCAACTATTCTTAACATATATAGAAGATTCTACACAAAAGTGGTAGAATATACATACTTCTCAAGATAACACAGTATGTTTTCTAGAATATGACATGTTAAGTCAGAAAACAAATCAAACTTTAACAAAGAAAGCTGAAATGATACCACATGCCTTTCTGATCACAGTGTGATAAAACTAGAAATAAATAGCAGAAAAAAACTAGAAATTTTTAAAGTACACGGAAATTATACATTCTCAGACAATGAATGGGTCAAAGAAAAATCAAAAGAGAAAATAGAAAATATACTGAGACAAACAAGAATGAAACATAAGCATACTAAAACTTATTGGATGTAGCAAAAGCATAATAAGAAGGAAATTTATAGCATCAAATACCTACATTTAAAAAGAATGTTAATGCCAGGCACTGGTGGCTCACGCCTGTAATCCTAGCTACTGAGGAGGCTGAGATCTGAGGATCATAGTTCAAAGCCAGCCCAAGCAGGAAACTCCGTGAGACTCTTATCTCCAATAAACCACTCAGAAAACTGGAAGTGGTGCTGTGGCTCAAGTGGTAGAGTGCTAGCCTTGAGCTGAAGAGCTGAGGGACAGCACTTAGGCCCAGAGTTCAAGCCCCACGACTGACAGAAAAAAAAAAAAAAGAATGTTAACAACTAAAGGAATTGGCAAAAGAAGAACAACATAAGCCCAAAATTAGTAGAAATACAGGAATAAAAAGATTAGAGTGGAAACAAAATAGAGAAAGAAAATTTAAACAAAATTAAGTTGGATTTTGAAAGGATATAAATCTACATGTACGTCAACTAATCTTTAGCCAGTATTCTGAAATAGTACAATAGGTAAAGTCTCTTCAACAAAGTGTTTCAAAAATTGAATATCTCCATATAAAATAATGATATTGGACCTTTATCTTATACAAAAAAAAAACTAATTCAAAGTGGATTGGAGATATAAGCATAAGATCTAAACAGTAAAAATTAAAAAAAAAAAACACATCATCTCAGTAATCCCAGCTACTCAGAAGGTAGAGATTGGAGGATTACCATTCAGGGCAGGTGTGGAGGTGAATAAAAGTTATGAGATTCCATCTCAACCAATAAGATGGGTGTGGTACTGCACATCTGTAATTCTAGCAACTTAAGAGATAGACGTAAGAGTATTACAACCCTGAGAAAAACTATACCAGAAAAATAACTAAAGTGGAAAGGGGCTGGAAATATGGCTCATGTGATAGAGCAAGTACTAGGGCCTGAGTTCAAATCCCATTATGACGAATAATGAGGAAGAGGAGGAAGACAAGAAGGAGGAGGAGGAGGAGGAGGACTCTGATATTAAAGACTAGGAAGTAGGCATCTAAGCTGGGTCCTGGTGGCTCATGCCTGTAAACCTAGCTGAGATCCAGAGGATCACAGTTCAAGGATACCCTGGGTTAAAAAATTTTTTCTTGAGATTCTGTCTCAAAAAAAAAAAAATAGAGCAAAAAGCTAGGCTGGAAGCATAGCTCAAAGTAGTACAGTGCCAGCCACAATGCTGTCAAAATAAAAAAAAGTAGGCATCTGAAAAGGTGTCTGAGGAAACCAAACTTCCCCTTGAAGCAGCCTTTCTTAAGAAAACTAAAGAAAATGAGAGGGAAGACTAGGAGACAGGTAGAGAGCGAGGCAGACAATGGACTATTCAGTGAGCACTTTGGTATCATTCGTCAAAACACTTTGTTAAAAATAAGTGCTATTTCAAAATATCTTTATCCAGAACAAATTTGAAGCAGGACTAATTGGGGTGGAACATTTAGAGTAGAAATGTTACTGAGGGGCTTAAATTCAGGGGTGTCATAAGCCGAAGAAATTTTAATGAATTTGAAATGATTTTGACATCTATGAAACTTCTTACTGGAAATTACCCAAACATCCATGAAAAATAGAATGGTTTTTTTTAAAAATTGTGAAATGTATGAGTCTGTTTTCTATGGCCAACAGTGCAATACCAGAGGCTGGGGAATGTGAAGAAGAAAAGAGGTTTACTTTAGCTCTCTGTTCTGGGGGTGTAAGAGATTGTGAAGGTGCCTGGTGGTGGCTTCTTGCTGGCAGAGTTGGGAGGTGATCTGGGTCATCACTGGAGAGGGACAAGAGCATGTGTGTGTGTGTGTGTGTGTGTGAGAGAGAGAGAGAGAGAGAGAGAGAGAGAGAGAGAGAGAGAGAGAGCTCTTCCTCTGCTTACACAGACACCAGGATTCATGGGGTCCCATCCCGAAGACTCTCCCCAAGGGCTCCAGCCATCCACTCCACCCTCTTCACACCTCTCATGGGAAAGGTGGAAGCACTTGAAGCTTTGGGTGCTCAAACCCTTGGAACCCCTGTTTTCCCACTCTGCCCTTTTATCTCTTCTCTGACGGCTGACCCCTTCCTCAATAACTCAATTCTGATTTATAGTGCATTATGGCAACATCTCCCCCAGGGTGAAATGATTTTATTATACTATCAGAGAAACAGTTTGGCCACAAACCATCACCCCGAGAGGTAAACGTTAAATTCTTTCTTCCTTTTTATGTGTCTTTCTTTCTTGTGCCAATACTGGGACTTGAATTCAGGACCTGTGCTCTGTGTCTGAGCTTTCTCATCCAAAGCTGGTGCTCTTACAGCTTAAACCACAGCCAGCTCCACTTCCTGATTTTTGGGGGGTGCTTAATGAGAGATTAGAGTCTCTCTGGCTTTCCTGCCTTGGCTGGCTTCAAAACCTCGGTCCTCAGATCTAAGCCTCCTAGGTATTAACTTCATCATCTAATGAAGGAAAAGAGGCGCAGACACATGGAGAAGCCGGGCAGGGAAACAATTGGGGTGCACTGAGTCAGATTTAAACACTCACCTGCTGCTGCAGAACCTGAGCGGGAAAACAACTCATCCCTGGACCTGGCCTGAAACAATGAATGCGCACAGCGCAGCCGCAGGTCTTTCCAGGACACCCCCCACCCCACCCGTGGTCTCCACACCCTGAAAAGGGCTTCAAGGGCACTGGTGGGGTAGGGTGGGGATAGTGAGGTCCCGATCCAGGAACCCCACCCGGGCATCCTGCGGCGGTCAGACGCGACTCCAGTTCCGCGCTCCGGCGCCAGGAGGCGCTGCCGCCCCGTCCGCCGCTGCCTCGGGGCTCGCGGTCCCCCGCAGCCCGGGCGCCCCACCTGCAAGATGTCCGTGTGCGGCGGCGAGCGGCCGCCACGGCCCGGGCCGCGCCTGTCCTGGCTGCTGTGCTGCAGCATCCTGCTGTCCCCGGCCGCCGGGTACGTGATCGTGAGCTCGGTGTCCTGGGCCGTCACCGACGAGGTGGACGAGGAGTTGGACAGCGCCTCCACCGAGGAAGCGCTGCCCGCGCTGCTAGAGGACTCGGGCAGCATCTGGCAGCGGAGCTTCCCGGCCTCGGCGCACAAGGACGACGCGCACCTGCGGCCCCGCGCGGGAGCCGCCCGCGCCCGAACGCCGCCCGCGCCCCGCGGGATGTTCTCCTACCGGCGGGAGCCCGGCCCCGCGGCCCGCGCGGCCCCTGAGCCCGGCCCGCGCGCCGCCACCGCCCGCTCCCTGGCGCACGCCAGCGCCTGGGGCTGCCTGGCCACCGCGTCCGCCCTGGAGAAGGTGAGCACCGGCCGGCGGGCTGACTGGGGTTGGAGGTGCGGGGCGGGCGCTGCAAGTGCGCGCCTCGGGGTGACCCGCCCGGTAGGTGGCGCGCCCGGCCGTCGCGGCGACGCTGGCCCCCCAGCGCACCACGCCGCAGCCCCGGCCCGAGGGCTCCGCGGCACCGCGGACGCCTGGCGCGGCCGAGCGCGCAGGGCCGGGGGCGGACGCGCGCCCTGCCGGGTGACAGGGCCTGGGCTCCCCGGTGTGGAGAGGGCCGAATGGATGCACGGATAACCAGCGTGTGGCCAGCCAGCGGCCGGTCGCCTGTGGAATCACAGAGGAGCCAAGCGCAGCTCGTGCCCGATCCTGGCGCCGCCCACATTTCCTGACCGGGCAGCCCAGCCCAGGGTGGGCGAAGCCTGTGGTGAGCGGTGATACTTCCGACAAATAGAGCCCCGGAGTTCTTCTGGAAGGGAGGCTAAGGCTGCCAAGGGTCCGAGATGCTGCCAGACGGAGCGGCTGCGGACCGCGCGCGGCTTCTAATCCGCCCGCGGTTCGCTTCACCTGTTAGACCCGAGCCCGCCCGGGGGAAAGCAGGCGGGAGCTCCGCTAAGTGACCCTCCGCCAGGCTTCCAGAGCTGTCGGGATGCAAGTGGGGACCGCGCTGCAAGGCCCATGACTTCCTGCAGAAAGGATCCATCGTGTTAGCATGCCTAGGGCTTTGATCAGGGGGCCGGGTTCTTGCTCAAGCTCTAGACTGCGCCGCTGGCTCCTCTCTTCATCTGGAAAACCAAGTGTTAGCTTGGCAGGTCACACACACACACACACACACACACACACTCACTCAAATATTCAGGGCCTGAGGGCTGTCCTTAGCTATTTTGCTCAAAGCTAGTGCTCTACTATTTGAGCCACAGCGCCTCCCCACCCCCCCTCATTCCCACCGCCCTCCCCTTTGGTTCAGTGGAGATAAAAGTCTCATAGAATTTGCTGCCCAGTCTGGCTTTGAACCCACGATCCTCAGACCTCACCCTCCTGAGTAGCTAGAATTACAGGCATGAGTCACCAGTATTTGGCTAGCTTGGTGGTTTGGGAGGTCCTTTTTTCTTACAAAATTATGGCGATGACCACTTTAGTCCAATGATAGTGGCAATGGTCTTAACCTCTTTGTGTCAGATTCTAAGCATTTGGATTGTCACAGCAACCACCTATTTTTTTTCAGTTGTGTCTTACACTCCTAAGACACACTGTAAGAAATGTGAAGTTTAAATATAAAGCTTATCTTAGATTAAAACATATCCTTCCAGACAATGAACTGTCTTGTGCCCGTGTAGTAAAGATAATTTCACTCTTGCCAGGCACTGGTGGCTCACACCTGTAATCCTAGCTACTCAGGAGGCTGAGATCTGAGCACCAACGTTAGAAGCCAGCCTAAACAGAAATAGAGGCAAAGTGTCTCATACAATCCCTGGCTCGTGTGCAAAAGCGGTAGAGCACAAGTCTTGAGCAAAAAAAAAAAAAAAAAAAGCAAAAGTGCAAGAATCTGAGTTCAAGTCCCAGTACTGGCACATGCGTGGGCACATACACATACATGTACACACACACATACATGCACACACACCACACACATACACACATAAACACACACACAGTATTTTCACTCCTACAAACTTTGCCTTATCTTGATTAGGAGTTCCTCTTTCCAATATGGACACTTAACCCAAATTCAATAAACTCAGAAGCCATTGCATGAATGCAAAGCATAAGTCTGAATGATGTTATTACCCTTTTGGAGTGATCCTTGACATGTTGTTTTATTAACAGGTTGAACTCCTTTCTTTTACAATGGGACACACTAAGGCTGTGCCACACTTGAAAGACTGTCCCTGAATTCTGAGCTAAGTAACAGTGGGTGCACTTTGTAAGGAGGACACTCATGGAAGATTGGGAGGTTGTGCCAGTAGTGTTTGGGAAAACTCTATTGATTACAATTAAAATATAATGAATAAATGAGAAAGTGTAGCCCTAAGAGAAATGATAAGAGATTGGACACCTGTGGCTCACTCCAGTAATCCTAGCTTTGCAGGAGGCTAAGATCTAAGGATCGAGCTTCAAAGCCAGCTGTAGCAAGTAAGTCCATGAGACTCTTTTGTTGTTGTTGTTGGCTGTGGGGCTTGAACTATGGGCCTGGGTGCTGTCCCTGTGCTCTTCAGCTCAAGGTGAGCACTCTACCACTTGAGCCACAGTGCCACTTCTGGTTTTCTGGTGGCTAGTTAGAAGAGTCTCACAGCCTTTCCTGCCTGGGCTGGCTTTGAACTGCGATCCTCAGATCTCAGCCTCCTGAGTAGTTAGGATTACAGATGTGAGCCACTGGTGCCGGGCAGTCCATGAGACTCTTATCTCCAGTTACATACCCCAAAAAGCTGAAGTGAAGCTGTGACCCAAGTAGTAAGGTGCCAACCTTGAGCAAAAAAGCTCGGGGACAGTGTCCAGGCCCTGAGATCAAGGGCCAGGACCAACACACACATACACACACACACACACACACACACACACACACACACACACACACACACTAAGAGAATGTGGCCAGACTCAAAGGCCAAGCAACACATTTAAGAATTCTATCCCCAGGAAGTGGCACTGTAGCTCAAGTGGTAGAGCACTCGCCTTGAGCTGAAGAGCTGAGGGACAGCGCCCAGGCCCAGAGTTCCAGCCCCACGACCGACAAAAAAAAAAAAAAAAAAAAGAATTCTATCCCCAGTTTCCAAAATTTTAGGGAAGTCAGTGAAGGTGATGGGTATTTGAGGGGAAGTTTGTGGGAAAGGCTTAAGAGCACCCATCCTCATAAATTTCATTGCTCTCCCTAACATTAAGTTCAATAAAACAGATGTATTTGCTACTTCCAGAATAATCTTGTGGTTTCTACACTGAATGTCGCTGCTGAGTATTCTCCTCCAGAGATGCTATCTCCCCCACAGCTACCATGCTGCCATGCCTTCCCCTCCATACACATGCTATGTTGTCAGTACACAGGAATTCAAAGTCTTGTTACTGGGGTGTTTTCTAGATACAAGGACTGCCATTTGGGAGCTGCCTGGCCATCAGTGACGGCCCACTCAGCAACAGCACTGGGACCCCTTTCTTCTACATGACAGCCAAGGATCCCGTGGTGGCTGATCTTATGAAGAACCCCCTGGCATCACTGGCGCTTCCAGAGCTGGAAGGAGAGTTTTGTAGGTAAGCAAGGGTTTGTCCTCACACGTACAGGCCCAGGTAATTTGGGGCAAAGACGACAGAACAGAAACTTGTGATGTAAACTGGTGTCCTTTATTCTTGGAATCAGATAAACTAGAATTTCTCCATGTACCCAATGGGTGTGATTGGGAACAAGTGATTTGCCTTTAAAAGTCTGTACAATGGAAATATAATCTTGACTTACACTGGGGTTGCATTCCAATAAACCCATTACAAGCTGAAAATAATAATAAGTCAAAAATCCATTTAATAGCTGAGCACCAGTGGCTCTTGCTTGTAAACCTAGCTACTCAGGAGGCTAAGATCGAAGGATTAAATTTCAAAGCCGCTCAAACAACAAAAAAAAGTTTATAAAACCTTTACCTCAAAAAAAACCAACCTAGCAAAAAACTGGAAGTGGAGCTGTGACTAGAGTGGTAGAGCACTAGTCTTGTACAAAAATGTTCAGGGATAGCACCCAGGACCTGCATTCAAGCCCCACAAATGGTACAAACATACACACACACACACACACACACACATACAGTGCATGGACCACCACTATTTCTAATAGTTTTTGTCCACAAGCTTTTGGGAAATATTTTAATTTGATAAAACTAGATATAAGTAAGTTATTAAGTCAAGTAGTACAGGGCAGATACCTGGCCATACAGATTCTGTTACTTTTCCTCATTAAGAGGTTTTAACCGAGGAATGTTCAACTCTCATTTGAGTTTGGAAAGATTACCCTGGCCACTCGATTGAAGATTCATTCAAGATGATAAGGAGTGGACTGTAGCCAAAAATGATGGCACACACCTGTAATCTCAGCTACTAGTGAGGCTGAGGTTGGGAGAATTATGGTAAAAACTTTCAAGAATCCATCTTGATCAATTTAAAAAAATCTAAGTACTGTGGTGCATTTGTGTCATCCTAGCTACATAATGAATAAATATAGGAGGATAGAGGCCCAAGTTGGCCCTCACAAAAAGCAAGACCTTATTCAAAATATAACATAACCAAAATAGGCTGGGGGCATTGTTTGAGTGGTAAAACACCTGCCTAGCAAGCACAAAGTCCTAAATTCACACTGAGGACTGGGGAAAAAAGAGAGACAGAGAGAGAAAGAGAAAGAACTAATTCTGCAAAGACTACTACATAGAATAGTGTACAATGCAAACTCCCCAAAATTGAGAGTATAGTAGACTTTTAACAGCCTTAGAGGACAGGGTGAAGGGACATGATATTGACATGGGCAGCTTTGGCTCCCCTGACCCCCCAGCCCAAGGACTAGAACCTCCTAGGAGATGAGGGTTTATAGAATGAATGTGTCTCGAAGACTCTTAAGACACCAAGACCATGAGGACAGTAAGTGGGTCTGAAGTACATATCCACTGTTGCCTGCCAACAACTAGAATTTAGCCCCAGGATAGCTCAAGTTCTTTGTAAAATGAAGCCAGAATTCAAGTGGAACAGAAAGATGAATGCTATGTGGTGTCACTGGTTATTTTAGAATATAAAGAAGTGAAACCCATGGGAGCCAAGAGGACAGCGCTTGGCAGAGACTGGAGAAGATGGGAGGGGAGATGCTGCTCAGTGGGTGCAAACTGTGTATAAGACAGACAAGGGCAGGGCTCTGGTATGCAGCCTGGTTTAAAATGAATGTGTTCATTCATTTGTTTACAGTAATCATCACGAGGCTTATATGTGCATGTTGTTGGGAGCGTTGGGAGAAGGTACAGCACTGTGATTTGAACAGAAGTTCTCATACTTTCACTCCACTTGCTTATAGTTGGCACTCTACCAGTTGAACCAGGCCTCCAGTCTGGCATTCTGCTAGTTAATTGTAGATGAAGTCTCCCAAACCTTTCTATCCAGGCTGGCTTTGAATCACAATCCTCAGATCTTAGCCTCCTGAGTAGCTAGAATTACCTTGAATATACTTAATCTTCAACAGTTAAATATTTTCTTGAAAGATTACAATCTGAAAAACAGTAAGGAAGGTAGCTTTTCCACTTATAAAACATCACATCCATTCAAATCAGACCTACAAACATGTTCTGACTAATCATTCTTAGTTTATTTAAGGTCTAGCTTATTTAATTACTGTGTTTACTTCTGGGTACTGTGATTTCTTCATTTAATTAATTAGACGGATTGAGGGAGGGAAGCAATTTCCTTACGCAGGCTAAAAAGGGTAAGATTCTGTTTTAAGAATCTGGCAACTAGCATCCTGCCCTCTCTTCATCTCCCTCTCCCTTCAAAACTCAGGTGCCCTTGCCACTAAGTGAATTTATGCTCAGACCAGAGACCATGTGTGAGAGTTTAAAAACAAAACAACACAAAACAGTGATTTGCAAAGAAAAGACTCAAGAGGTTCAATCCCTAGCACTGCCACAGAGAGAGGGGAGGAGGAAGAAAGGGAGAGAGAGGGGAGAGGAGGGGAAGGGAAGGAAGTGGCTTGTGAAATGAGACTTCTCCCGCAGCCTCTTCCCTTACATTCAGACTTGAACACCCTGGGTTTTAGATTTCATTTTCTCAGTAAGGCCAGGCAGCAAGTCCTCAGGACCGGAGAGGATTGTCTGTTGAATTATATTCTGTTCAATGATAGTGATTTTATTTTCATTTTGATAAGATATAAATGAAATCAAGAGATTTATCAGCTGCTTCTGAACTGAAAACATTTCAATGGATACTGAACTGAAAACATTTCAATGGATAGTCAACAAATGCTAGGTAGGCTTGATGACTAAGAAAGAAGAACCTGAAAGTATCTTTTCTCTCTTCTAAAAAAGGCTTTCCATCAAGGTCTGCTGACACTGTCATGGCTGAAGGTGTCCCTGTCCTGACAGGTAGCAGGCTGCTTTTCAGAGTGTGTGTGTGTGTGTGTGTGTGTGTGTGTGTGTGTGTGTGTGTGTGTGTGCGCGCGTGCACGCGTGCGCCAGTCCCAGTCCTGGGACTTAAACTCAGGGCCTGGGCACCGTTCCTTAGCTTTTATGCTCAAGGCCAGTGTTCTACTATTTGATCCACACCTCAGCTTTTTGGTAGTTACTTAGAGATAAGAGTCTCACCGACTTTCCTGCTTCAAACCATGATTCTCCAATGTCACTCTCTTGAGTAGCTAGGATTACAGGCATGAGCCTGTAATGACACCGGGCTTTAGAGCTTTTTTAATAGAGCTAAATATGATTTAGCATCAGAGGAGATGCTAAATTCCAGGTTTTGCAACAGGATCTCAGTTTCTGAGGATGAGGTACCAGACAATGAATGGACTGAGGCCAGGGCTGCATGAGACAAGAACTGGAAGCCTCAGCATGCCTTTCCAGGAGGGGTGCAAAATTAAGCATTGCAGAAGTAACTTGACTGAAGGACTCTCACAAGAAGGTGCTGGAACACGCTGCTCTGAGGTCATCCTCAATCCTGGAAGCAGCCTCACTTGTTATTAGCATACCAGCAGGAGAAGCATTTGGTGGGACAGAAGTGGGGGTTATTTGCCTTCATGAAGTGGGTTCAGGATAAACTTTTAGCAAGTCTTTCTGTATAGGACAATGACCTCACCTACCTCCCCCCATTGTAAGGGTTTCTTATAAGAATAAAATATGGAATATTAGATGTAAACCTCAGCCCCACCTGATAGCAAGAATAGGTTCCCCTAGAAACCAAGCAATCCATACACTCATCACTGTCCAGCTCAGCTTCAAGCAAGTGCTAAGTGAGCGTGCACTTGCCACAGTTCCCTGTTTGGCAGCCAAGGTGAATCTGTGTCTGGAATCTGTACTCACCTGAGCTGTGATATGTATGTCAAAGCCCAGGCCTGGACCTAATCAGATACAGGAACTAAATCCAATTTCTCTTCACTGGTTCATGTTCATTCCCCTTTGAAAGCAATACATGTCTTCTAAATAATTTACCCTCTGTGCAAATTTGTGCTACCTCTCCTTCTCCTTTGCTGGACAGTTCCTATATTCCTGATAGATTTTCCCAGTATCCCCAGTAGATTTTTATAAGAGTTGCCAAAATCTGGGTGTCAATAGTTTATGTCTGTCATGCTAGCTACATGGGAGGCTGAGATTGTTGGGATTGTAGTTCACAGGCAGGCAGAAAACAAGAGCAATGAGGCTGGCCTGTGAACTAGGAAGCTAACAGAGGTAGACTGTGCCTAGATGCAAACACAGGCAGGAAGCAAAACCACATGTCAAAAATAATGGAGGCCAGGTGCCAGGCAGTTCATACCTATAATTCTAGGTATTCAGTAGGCTGAGATATGAGAATCAAGATTTGAAGCCAGCTCAAGCAGGAAAGTCTGTGAGACTTTTATTTCTAGAAAGCCAGAACTGGAGCTGTGGCTCAACTGGTAGAGTGCCAGCCCTGAGCAAAAAAAACTCTAGGACAACATCCAGTTCCTAAATTCAAGCCCCAAGATCAACACACACAAAAACCGGGCAAATTTCAGTACTGGAAGGGTGGCTCAGCAGTAGAAGTGCCTGTTTACCAAACACAAGGCCCTGAGTTCAAAAGATTGCAGTACCATGAAATAAAAAAACCAAAAGAGGGGCTGGGAAGGTGGCTCAGGGGTAGAGTGCTTGCCTTGTATGCATGAGGCCCTGGGTTCAATTTCTCAACACCACATAAGGAGAAAAAGCCGGAAGTGGCACTGTGGCTCAAGTGATAGAACACTAGCCTTGAGCTGAAGAGCCCAGGGACAGTGCCCAGGCCCAGAGTTCAGGCCCCATGGCCGACAATAAATAAATAAATAACCAAAAGAACTGTTAGAGAGGCCTGCAAAGGGAAGCTGGTGCCTTGTGTCTTCTGCTCATTTCTGTGGTGGTATCTCATTGCAATTTACAGCCTGATATTATTTCTCTCCCTAATATTATTTCATCCCATGAATGTTGGTCCCCATGATTCCTCTCTAGTTTATAAGCTCACTCATGATTGCAGTTCCTTGGTTCTGATACTGCCCTTTCCCACCGTCTGCTAACCACCTTATCCATTTAGTTCAC